GTTGACCAGGATGGTCTCGATCTCTTGACCTCGTGATCCACCCGCCTCGGCCTCCCAAAGTGCTGGGATTACAGGCTTGAGCCACCGCGCCCGGCTGATGAGAAATATTTTTACAGCCTAGAGGTCTTTTATTTGTTTAGCACCTACCATGCCATGGAGTCACAGGGAATAGGTTCCAGTGGCTCAGGCTCTTTCCCACTGGTTCTCATAAAGAGTGCTTCTCTGGGTGGAGCAGGCTCGCACTTCAGTTGAACCCAGGTAACTTTCTTTTTTTTTTTCTTTTTTACTTTTCTTTTTTTTTTTAACTTTTTAATTTTTTTATTTTTAAAGATGGGGTTTCACCATGATGGCCAGACTGGTTTAGAACTCCTGACCTCAGGTGATCCACCCACCTGGGCCTCCCAAAGTGCTAGGATTACAGGCGTGAGCCACCACGCCTGGCCTTATTTATTTATTTATTTAAATTGTTTATTTTTATTATTTTATTTTATTTTATTTTAAGATGGAGTTTCACCATGTTGGTCAGGCTGGTCTTGAACTCCCAACATCAGGTGATCCGCCCGCCTTGGCCTCCAAAGTGCTTGGATTATAGGCGTGAGCCACCACGGCCGGCCCAAATTGTTTATTTTTTACATGGGACAGGGTCTTGCTGTATTGGCCAGGTTGGTCTTGAACTCTTGGCTTCAAGCAATCCTCCAGCCTTACCCTCCTAAAATACTAGGATTACAGGTGTAAACAACTACACCTGGCCTTGGTTTTTTTTAATTATTATTATTTTGTTTTTTGGGTTTTAAGAGATGAAGTCTTGCTCTGTTGCCCAGGCTGCAGTGCAGTGGTGCCATCACAGCTCACTGTGACCTCCACCTCTTCAGACTTCAGCAGTACTCTTGCCTCAGCCTCCCAGGTAGCTGGGACTACAGGTACCACTACCACACACGCCTGGCTAATTTGTTTATTTTTTTTGCAGAGACAGGGTCTCCCTGTGTTGCCCAGGCTGGTCTTGAACTCTTGGGCTCAAGCAATCTTCTCTCCCCGGCCTCCCACAGTGCTGGGACTATAGGCATGAGCCATGACACCTTGCGCCGGGCTCCTTTCAATCCTGTCCATTATACCTGTCCCTAGCCTTGCCTCTGAGTTCCCATTCCAGAGGAGGAGCTGCTGGTGGGACAGGGACCTCCTCCCTGTGAGGAGGACAGCAGCAGCTAACACCCTGGTCCTGTGCCCCATCATCTCCTGCCTGGGCAACACAGCAGCCTCCTCCTTGTCACCCTGCCCCTGCCCTGCCCTCCACACAACAGGAGGGAGCTGGTGAAGGCCAGAATCAGATCATGTCCTTCCTCTGCACAGGGCCTTCTCAGGCTCTGTCTCACTCAGAGTAAAAGCCAAGTCCTCACCATGGCCCATCAAGCCCAAAAAGCCTTCCCCCATCACCTCCCTGACCTCTGTCTCCCACACTCCCTCCCACTGACTCTGCTGCAGCCACACAGCCCTCTTCACAGTTTCTCACACCTGCTGCCCTCTTTCCTACCTCTGGGCCACTGTGCGGGCTGTTCCCTTGGCCTGGAATGCTTTGCCTGGCTCTCCTCACAGTCGCCACTTTTCATCATTTGAGTCTCTGCTCAAGCCTCTTCAGAGTGACCTTCTCCAGCCTCCTCCACTAAAACAGTGCCCCCTTCTTTCTAACATATCACCTCATTTTATTCTTCGCATTTACTAATATTACTCTTAGAAATTCTTTTATGCCAGCCTCAGGCAACATAGTAAGACCCTGTCTCTACAAAAAAATTAAAAGTCCACTGGTGTGATGGCTCAAGCCTGTAATCCCTGCTATTTGGGAGGCTGAGCCAGGAGGATCACTTGAGCCCAGGAGGTGGAGGCTCCAGGGAGCTATAATTGAGCCACTGCACTCCAGCCTAGGCAACAGAGCAAGACCCTGTCTCTAAAAAAATAAAATCATTATTTCATTTTTAATGCATTTACTTGCTGATTATCTGCTTCCAGGGTCAACTGAATCCACAAGAAAAACCTGACCATTTTATTCACCATTGTATCACCTGCAATAAAAGGGGGGCCTGATTCATAGTGGGTGTCAAGTGAACAGAAAAAGGTATTATTCCCACATGGAGCCTTTTCTATGAGCCAAGTACTGAGCATGCTTCACACATATTTAATCACTGTATGATTGTTATCATACCCTTGTTAATGATAAGAAGTTTTGGCACAGACAGGTTAAGTAACTTGCTTGAGAACACACAGCTATTAGGTGCCTGACTTCAGAGCACAAACAGTTAACTACAGACAAAACAATTTAGAAAAAGCGGAACAAAATGGGAGAACTCATTTGAAAACTTACTACAAAGGTACAGTAATTAAGACTGTGTAGGATGGGCACAGTGTCTCATACCTGTAATCCTAGTACTTTGGACGGCCAAGGGGGGCAGATCACCTGAGGTCAGGAGATCAAGAACAGCCTGGCCAACATGATGAAACCCCGTCTCTACTAAAATACAAAAATTAGCCAGGCGTGGTGGTACGCGCCTGTAATCCCTGCTACTTAGGAGGCTGAGGCAGGAAAATTGCTTGAACCCAGGAGGTGGAGGTTGCAGTGAGCCAAGATCATGCCACTGCACTCTAGCCTAGCCTGGGCGGCAGAATGAGACTCCATCTCAAAAAAAAAAAAAAA